GTAGCTTTGTGCTTAACTACAAACAAAATGAATTATTATAATTTGATTTAGAAATTTAAGTGTTACGCTTGTACTATTTTCTTTTTTGTTCTAGAAATTGAAGTGTTACGCTCGTACTATTTTCTTTTTTTTGTTTTAGAAATTGAAGTGTTACGCTCGTACTATTTTCTTTTTGTTCTAGAAATTGAAGTGTTACGCTCGTACTATTTTTTTTTGTTCTAGAAATTGAAGTGTTACGCTCGTACTATTTTCTTTTTTGTTCTAGAAATTGAAGTGTTAAGCTCGTACTATTTTCTTGTTTTGTTATTTTTTTGCCCAAGTTTGAAGAGCAGCTTGGCTTTACATATGGATCTGAACTAATCGTGAAATCCACGGGATTTAACAAATGAGGTGGATTTGGCTTACGGCAACTAACGGTGTGTAAAGAGGCATGAAGAAATATCACAGGCTTGATAATAATAGTTAAAAATTAAGTTGAATAAATAACATCTATTGATTCACAAAGACTGGTTAGCTTTTACTATTTTTTGTATTTATTTATTAATACGTCCCAAACTGTACCAATACCTAATTTAGATACTAACACGAAAATGCATTGTCTACGAAGTTTCAGTTCAACCAATTTTTAAAAAGATATAAATACAGTCAACAATACGTCTGTTTAATAACATCTACCTAATTGACACGACTGACCAACGCATTTTCTGAAAATCTAACTTAACCAATGTTTGAACTAAAGAAAACAACCAGATGGATTCTACACTAATGCAAATTAATAACGTAAACTGTCAACAAATCAAAGTCAGAAGGTAGCTAGTTAAGTTGCACGCTTTCACCCAACGTTCATGCTAAAGAATTGACTGTCACCCTTATAACGCACACACAGGCTAAAGTGCGTGGAATATTTTGTGGTAATAAAAGAACACAATATCGTGTGTAGCAGTTAGTTAGTTAGTTTGTTTGTTTGTAATTAAGCACAAAGCTACACAATGGGCTATCTTTGCTCTGCCCACCACGGGTATCGAAACCCGGATTCTAGCGTTGTAAGTCCCCAGACATACCGCTGTGCCACCGGGGGGGGGGGCGTAGCAGTAAGTGAATGGAACAAATTGTTAGAAGTCTTGATATTGGAGAAACTAATTTCGACGAATTCGTGCGCCCTCTTCGACTATCACTCCATTATCAGAGGATGTGATTTTTTAAAATATTTATAAGATATTAAAGTATTTTGCTGTGGGTTGTTTTAGAGATTTCTGACACTATTTTAATTTAGATCTATTCTCAAAACAACTTATTTCGTTTTCGAATAAAATCATGATTGAAAAAAAAACATTTTCCATTTCCATTCAAACATTGAGTATTTTCTTCTGGAAGTACAAAAATAAATAAAAAAAAAAGCGCTTTTGTTCAACCGCCTGATAATAAGTACGGTAGAGGGTAAGGTATATAACAAAATATTCATAAATTCAGATCATAAAGATGCATTTAGTTCAGGGATTCAGGATCTCCAAGACAGGGATATCCCTTATACTTAATGACATTGGAAAAGAACGAATATGGATAAACTTGGGGCACTAGGACCATCCAGAAAGAGATCTGTAAAAAGTCGTACCTTAGGCGTGGTAAGTAAAGTAGGACGTCTTGTAACAGGTGAGAATCCACGAAGTCAATGCTCAGTAGCTAATATTGGTCGCATTCCCCAAGCAACTACGAAACATAATCAAGTCACGTGTACACATGCTGCTTCCACAACATATTCGTTCAACTGTCGCATACCTCTAGCAGTTAGATAATGAAACGAGTGTTCGTGCTCTTCCATGCGAAGATATAAAAGTTAAATTCGGATGCAGTGTTTAGGAATTTCTGTACGATCGGATTATTGAAACGGACGCTTGGTAATCGTCATCTTTTAACTCTAGATGGATTGCTAAAATAAGGACGGAGTGGTGTGCTTTGTACCGGAAAGCCTATCGGCAGATCATTTCAAAATGAAAACAGCGTTGGAGGGTTATCGCCAAGACACACGGTCGTCAGATAGAGAATGACCAGACGTGGCGACGTGGACTGTAACAATGCAGAGTTTTTATTAAACAATTGATTTAATATGTTACATCTTTGATTACAAACTTTCAATGATTTATTAGTCACTCTTTTATATAGCAGTAGACATTATTTTATGTGCAAGAAAGCCGCCTTTCTATCCTACAATGCCGCATAACACTACAGAATCTTATATAACCTGTAACACATACATTTACGCGCATAACAATAAAACTAATGTTGCTGTGGGAATCGATTTTTGAGTGGTCAGGCCATTGCCACAACTAAACAGTATGACAAACTATGTGTGCACAGCATGCCCCCCAGAAATATGTCGAAACTTTAATGCTATGAGATTGAATCTTGAGCTATTTTAGCTACAAATACTGCATACACACAACGTAATGTGTTGAATTAAAAGAGCAAATTTTAATACGTAAGTTGTAGCTATATATGCCATGAAAAAGTGGCCAGGTCATGGCCTGACTGGCCTTACCGCTTCCCACGGCCCTGACTAACCCTTTTTAGAATATAGAACGCCTTAGCTGGCGGAGCACACTTTCAGTAGTAGTAGTAAGTGGATAACATCACACTCATGTTAGTAATAAAAATAACGTTTATTTCGGCATGCATTTGTTTTGTAAAAAATCATAGTTTTTCAAAGAAACCTTACAATAAAAGTCAACTAGATAAAGATCTAATACAATGTGTCTAAAGTTTGAAAGTTAACAGTGTTTGATCTGTATCAACCAGAACAAGGACAAACTCCAAACATTTAAGATGCAGAATTGATAAATAATTAACCGGCTGCTCAAAGCTTTGGTGGCTATTTAAAAACGTGATTTATTGGTTGTAAAAAGGACATTATTGGTCAGACGTTTTCAGTTCTGTTCTTTATTAAGAGCAAGTCTACACAATTCGCTATCTGTGTTGTGCAAATGACAGGTATCGAAACAGAGATTTTAATGTTTAAGTAGAAAATCTGTATTATATAAAATTTGGACACATGAACGCGTTTTAATTGTTATCCACTGACATATTTTAACAAAAATATATCACAATTAGTTTAATATGTTATCATTGAAGTATCTTTCTATTACTATAGCGTCATTGGTGAAGAATCTTTTTATCCTCATTCTATTCAAAATATTTCCGGCAGATTTCAAAAAGCATTAAAAGCGAACATTGTGAATGTAAAAACATTTGTCTAGTTTATATATATATATATATTGTTGTTGTTGTTCGTTGTTAAACAAAGCACCACATTGGGCTATATGCTGTGTCCAGCGCGGGGAATCGAACCACGTATTTTAGCGTTGTAATTCAGTAGATTTACCGCTGTTCAACCGTAAAACATGCGTAGTTCTATCGACACATAACGTGAACAATGACGTAAGCACATGTGTAAAAATTGAGCCTTGTCATGACTCTAGGAATGAAATTATACACTTTGGGTTAATCATTATTGGCCTCCTTGTCATATAACATGACTGCCTATTTTTATTCGTAATTTACTCGCATAATCTTAAGAAAGTGTGGTTACATAACCAAGAATAATAACAACTAATACCGTTAGTTATATCTTAAACAAAAGTCGGTTCTCTTCCCATTAAAAATCTATGTCATTTGACATTCGATACCTCAGTAAAACTACAGATTCATTAAGAACTTTAAAGTAGTCCCGTGTGGTCTTGTGGTTAATGTGCCGGGCTGCATGTCGAGATCTCAGAATCATCTGATATGCTGTTGATGGTATACACTCCGCATTCCTAACTGTGTGCGCATTATAAAAGACATAGCTATATATCTGCTATTGAGGTAAGAGTAGCCATGTAGGTAACAGGTGCCGTTGATTGTCCCCCCCCCCCACCACACACACTTAACAGTTCTAAGTTAGGCACGAGGCTATGCCTGAACCTTTGCGTTTCTGAACTGGGCATGTAGTCTATGCTATGTTCTTATGGTGTTGTTAATACTAAAAATATCAAAACGATTAAGAACTAGAAAGGTTATTTTTTAGAAGATTATTACTCTCCAAATCAACATTCTTTAAAAGTACGTCCCTCGATGGGACAGTGGTAATTCTACGGACAACGCTAAAATCCTGGTTCATCTCCCCGCGGTGTACACATCGGATAATCCAATGTGGCAAACAAGTTCAAAGTACTCTAAATTCTATTTAAAACTTGAATTACTATGTATCTATTGAGTATTTAAGGTTTTTCTTGTACTAATATGTAATTAAGTCTCCCTGTTGAAAGACCAGTTTAATATAGTTAAACTAATGATGTTATAGTATTTCAAAGCAAGCGAGCTCCATACTCATATGAAGTTTCAGTACTGTATTATATTCACCTTTCTATAAATACGATATTTTCAGGTTATGTTATAAGAATGCCTTTTAGCCTTGCTGTACGAAATACTGTATTTAAAGTACTCGATGGTTCAGAGGTAACCCTGAGGGCTTATAACGATAAATATTAAGTGGGCAGAGCACAGATAGCCTATTGTGTAGTTATGCGCTAAACAAGAAACAACTAAAACTTTATTTAATCGAGTCAACGATAGTTGCTGTTTTAAAAGTATCTGATGTATATTATTTCAGAAGATTTCCACGTAAGATGTATACCCAAATACTTAGAAATCTCAGTGATGCAGTTATCCCGGGTTTAAGAAGATCACATAAACAAGTTACAGCTGTGTGTAATTTTATATGTTGGTTTGGAAATGAAATTTTGTCTCAAATGTTTAACTGACTGCAAACAAAAAAGCAACTTTAAGTTGAAACGCAGTTTAGTATAAACGTTCACCGTTCGCTGGAAATGAGACAAAAATAACGCATGTTTTTCTTCAGAGCCCTCATATAGAGGGCTCTGTTTTCTGAAAAATCTATTATTTTTGCACTGCGTCAGTCACGTGACAACACCTTTAGCCAATCCGCTGATGAATGCATCAAGGAATCAAACTAAGCGTCAGGCAAGTTCAATTTCAAGGAATTGTGTGGACTACAACATGTAGGGAATTTAGATATGTCACTTAGAAATATTCTTTAGCTTAGCTCTATTCTTGATGGAAGAAGCATTAGAAACATGTCCATTTTTGCACTGATATCAAAACAGTATACAAAATACAACTGATTATCTTGTTGGTTCCGAGTAACGTCAACAAAGTGACGCGCTTAGTCGCGCGGCGTTAGGGCGAGCCTCTGATTTCTGTTCGGGTGCATTCTACGAACTTGTACTACGACTAGTGGTAGTGATGGCTACCGCTGTTCTATTTCTGGAAAATTGAAGTTCACCAGAACAGCTTGAAGGCGACTGAATACTTTCTGGCTTATCAACGGTATCTAATACCAAGGCAAACTCAGAGGTGACAACTAAGCTTAGAAATTATAAGCATCAGGCATTTTTTAGTATAGATGTAGATGAAAAAATTCTAGACTTAAAATGTTATTGTTACTATGTTACTGTTAGTGTTAAGATTAGAACTGTAGAGGATAAGGCTATGTTTTAACATAAAATTAAAAGGGTTGGTGTAAATTAAACTAAAAAATGAAAATTAAGAAAGTGAAACAGCTGTTTTGCACTCATTGAGCAATTGCTTGTAAGTTGTAAACAGCAGTGTTCTGTAGAACTTGTACTACTAGTAGTAGTAGTACAACTATTTAATTACTTACTTTAGTGTGAAGATAAAGTAGTGATAAAATGCTGTAATAATAATAATATTATATTGGATTTTCAAACGTTATGGTTAACAGTGTTGTCAATAGGCTATTGTAATTTATTGTTGAGTATTTAGTCCCAGATTACAAATACAATAGTTAAGACTAACGTTTACAGTCTGTTACTGTTAGGGGTAACGGTTTAAATGAGTGTTCTTTATTATTATTTGAGAACTAGGGACTGGTATGTACTTTTAGTTTTAAGGAAGCTAGCAGTGTAAATGATCAATTTGTTTGTAGAGTTTGCAGATTGCAGGTTATCTTAATTAAACTTTAGAGGCAACAGATAAAGAAAAGTGTAAACTGTGGGAAATGGCAGCAGGATTTTAAGAGGAACTTAAGCTTTTACATGTAAGGAATATATATATATATATATATATATGCTAACAGTGACTTTACAATGGAAGTACCATAAGGTATAAGTGCTAAAAGTAGTGGATTTAATTGTAATGGGCATGTTCTATTGAGCAACAGATTTCAACCCTTGTCTTGTGCAGGTAAGGAAAAGAGAAGGGTGCCAATGATAACCTTGAGGAAATTACAGTTATAACTTGTAAGTTGTAGGAGATTCTTTGACAAGGCAGGTGGATAGGATAGTCTGTGGTGTAAATAAAGAAAAGATAATTAAATTATGCTACCCATGAGCAAGGATGGAGGATATAAATGACAGAGGAAGAGATATAATAAAGGGGCTAGCAATGATGCAGTTTTTGTTGTGCATGCAGGGGATAATGATGTAGGGAAGGGTAAATTATAATTAAGAAGTTAGCACACAAAATCGCATACAATAGTTGTAATGGTTTTCAAATGAAACCCAAGCACTTTCCAATAGTGTACTATTCTTCTGAAGGAGAATAGGGAAGGGTAAGTCAGAGGAGCTGATTGATAAATACAAAGGTTGATAAAAGCATTTAAAGAAAAGGTCTGTAACTTAATTGTGTCAGGGGTACTGCCAAGAATTAATTGTGGGAAAGAAATTATAAGTAGGTCACTGGGGCTGAATGCTAGGCTTAGTTTAATATGTAAGGATAAGCAGATTGGCTGGTTGTACTTGTGGGATCAGTTTAATGGGAGAAGGGAGCTTTTTGGAATGGATAGTTTACACTTAAATAGGGTGGGGGCTGACTTGTTTGCAAGGGCTATTAACTCAGCTGTAAGGGAAGTTTTAACTTGAGACTAGACTAGACTGAGGGCCAGGATAGACTAAATGCAAAACAAATAACATGTACAGAAAAGTTAAGCATAGGAAATGAGTATAAAGTAATTCTAAGGGTAGGCTTAATTGTTACTATTGTAATGCTAGAAGTATTTATATAATTATAATAGTATTGTCTGTTGTATGTCCATGCTACTATTTTACAGGGTGTGGATGGATCTTCAGCAAAATTGGTATGGGGCTCATTAGGTCCATGCGGGGATACATGCAAATTTTCAATTTTGCATTTTGCAGTTTTTATGAGCATTTTGTACCACTACCTCACCTTCTGTGGATGGATCTTTACCAAATTGAATATGGAGGTTCATTCCATGGGGAGATACATAATCATTTTCAGTTTTGTAGTTTTTATGGGTGTTTTTGCATTTTTTACCACTACTTTGTCCCTTGTAGATGGTTCTTCACCAAACTTGGTTTGGAGGTTTATTGGATCCATGGGGAGATACATACAAACTTGCAATTTCACATTTTGTGTTTTGCAGTTTTTATGGGCATTTGTGCATTTTTCATAATTACATATAAGGGAAGCAACTTTTCCTGTCCTATAATAACCTTTCATTAAACATGAATTTACATTTCCATCCAAGGAATGGGTACTCCAGTTAGTAAGAAATAAAATAGATTACCTTACATTGCTGGTAGGATTAGAGGATTTTGATATAATGGGAATAACTGAAACATGGTTAATTGCTGATTGAAATACAGAGTTAAAGGTTATTTAATAGATAAAGAGTACTAAATAGAGGGGGAGGAGTGTCTTTATATGTAAGATGTGAGTTACATCCTGTTCAAGTTGAGGATATTAAAGATAATAGCAAGGAGATTGAATCCATTTGGGTTTCTGTTAGCAGATATAAAGGGAAAAGGCTTTTATTGGGAACTGGTTACAGGCTATCAGATGATGCTGATGAAATCAATGAGAAACTTTACAGGGAGATAAGGTTTCAGCTGTTAATGAGGTCATGATTATGGGTGATTTTAATTTCAGGCATATAGATTGAGAAATGTTAGTCAAACCATGAGGGAGAAAGGTTTTTGGAAACTGTTCAAATTGGTTGTCTTCACCAATTGATCAAGGAGCTTACTAGAAACAATACTATTTTATATTTATTGTTAACTTCTAATATAGAAATGGTTGAGAGGGTGGAAATTGGGGAACATCTGGGTGCAAGTGATCATTTCTCTATTAGGTTTGATGTTTTGCTACATATGGAGATCAGGAATAATGATATTTTGGTTACAAATATCAGAGAAGCAAATTTTGAAGGAATCTGACAAAAATTATCTGTTATGAATTGGGCAGCTGAGTTGTTTAGAGACACTGATCAAATGTGGAAAGTTTTTAAAGATAAATTTTTAAATATTCAAGATAAACATATTCCTTATAGAAAGAAAAGAATGACTGCAAGTAAAAAACCAGATTGGCTCACAAGGAGTATAAGAGATATAAATTAAGAAAAGTATCATGGTATGATGGGGAGATTATAAAAGATCAAGCTAATTGGTCAAACAGGAAATTAGGACATCAAAAAGGATGTATGAAGAAAGGTTAGCTGAAAATGTAAAAATTAATAGCAAGGACTTCATTAATACATTAAGGGTAAATAAAATGTTAGGATGGGGGTAGGACCCTTGAGGGATGATATTGGAAGGCTCTTTTCTGATGATTATGAGATGGCTGGGTTATTAAATTCTGTTTTTTCTTGAGTTTTTTACTAACGAAGATTTAAGCAGTATTCCACGTCTTGAACAGTTGATAGATGGAAACAATATGATCACATTAATTCTGAGCTTGTTAGGAAAAAATTTGGAAGTTCAAAGAATGATAAGTCTCCTGGGCCAAATAATATTTCCCCAAGGGTTTTGAAGGAAGTTAAGGATTGGATATGAGAGCTACTTGCTACTATTTTTTGTCAGTCCTTGAATAGTGGGCAGGCACCAGAGGATTGGAAGTTGTTACTCTTTTCAAGGAAGGTGATAAAAATTGTCCCAGTAATTATAGACCCATTAGTCTTACATCAGTTGTGGGAAAAGTTTTGGATAGTCTAGTAAAAGATGCTTTGCAAAGTCATTTAACAAAGTTTAAAATTTTATTGGCTAGTCAGCATGGTTTCACTAAGGGAACATTTTGCCTTACGAATCTTTTGATATTCTTTATAAAGGTTACTGCTTATGTAGATGAGGGTAAGAATGTAGATTTGGTGTATCTGGAT